CTTGGTGTAGGTCCTTGCCTTTCATGCCTTTAAATACTTCTTTCCAGCCCTTTCCTGCGTGCTAGGTTTCTTTGGAGAAATCAGCTGATAGTCTTATGGGAACTCCTTTGTAGGTAGCTGTCTCCTTTCTCCTTGCTGCTTTTAAGATTCTATCCTTATCTTTGATCTTGGGTAATGTAATTATGATGTGCCTTGATGTGTGCTTCCTTGGGTCTAATTTTTTGGGGACTCTCTGAGCTTCATGGGCTTCCTGGAAGTCTATTTCCTTTGCCAGATTGGTGAAGTTCATTATTTTCTCAGATAAGTTTTTTATTTCTTGCTCTTACTTTCCTTCTGGCACCCTTACAGTTTGGATGTTGGAGTGTTTTAAAGTTGTCCCAGAGGTTCTTCAGCCTCTCCTCATTTTTTTGAATTCTTTTTTTTTTGGCTGGGGAAAGAAAAGGGTCTTTATTAAAGTTATTGTCCAATTTGGAGTTCCTGGCTCCAATCCATTTTCTTCTGCAAACACAGAAAGAAGCCAGCCACCCCTAGGACCAGAATCAGAGTGCAAACATACCATACTATTCTTCCTGGGACGCAAGGGTGTTACACAAATGGGTCTTTCATGTCTCCAGCTCTGGGCTGTCTTTTTGGAGTATTTGTGGGGCTGCCATCTCCACTGCCTGGCTGCAGCTTCCTCTCTTCTGTGGCTGGTGCCCACTGCCAGATAACTGTAGCCAGTCATGCAAAAGGATCTGTTGGCAGGGCCTCAGCACCCAAGGCTGTTCATGCCCCTGGGGCCAGGGAACATTCTTGGCCTGCATAGCTGTGCACTGCTCTCAGAGCAAGAGAATAGGAGTGGTCCTGGAACCATGCCTTGTGACATGGGGCCACAGCATCCTGTAGGTGGCCACTGGTGAGGGATACATCCCTCTCGTGGGACTTGGCTTTGCAAGCTTGCCCCGGACTCACTTAGCATAAGATCAATTTCCAAATTTATATAGTTTAAAGTGGAAAAAGTTCTTCTTTTGTATCTCAGGAAAAGAAGTAGAAATCTGTGGCTTAGGTAGCCCCTCAGTTCCTGGCACCATCAGCTGTGTTGGCACTGCGATCTCCAGTTAATCCAAAACCATGTGGCACCTTCTCATGGCCCACCACAAGAGTCCTTTCACCCCTTTCCTTCCCAGCAAGGTCTCTCCTGCTTCCTAAGCCAGGTGGCAAAAGGGAGCACCAAAGCTGCATGGTCCTGACTCTCACCAAAGTCACATGGTCCCAATACTTTTTTTGAATTCTTACTTCTTCATTCTGTTCTAGTTGAATGTTTATTTCTCCCTTGTGCCCCAAATTGTTGACTTGAGTCTTGGTTTCCTTCCCTTCACTGTTGGTTCCCTGTATAATTTTCTCTATTTCACTTTGTATGTACTTTATTTTTCCTCCATTTTGTGGCCATACTCAACCATTTTTGTGAGCATCCTGATTACCAGTGTTTTGAACTCTGCATCTGATAGGTTATTTAACTCTTCATCACTTAGTTCTATTTTTGGAGTTTTGATCTGTTCTTTCATTTGGGTCATATATATATGTGTGTGTGTGTGTGTGTGTGTGTGTGTATATATATATATATATTTTTATTTTTTGCTTTAGTGTGCTTGTTATGTAGTAAGGGGCGGAACCTTAGGTATTTGCCAGGGCAGGGCAACCCTCTTCTCTGCGTTGTGGCACTATGTGGGGGGGAGCGGTCCGAGAGAGAACAGTGCTACTTACTAGACTCTTAGACAGCCTTCAGTCACTTCCCCTGCTATCCACAAGCAAATTGGGCCTTTCTGGTGCTGATTCCCAGGTGAGTGGGTTTGTGTATGTTCTAGGACCCTGTGGGTCTCTCCAACGAACTCTCCTGTGAGGCTGGGATTTTCTCCCACTGCCACAACTCCCATAGGTCTTAGTAGCCAGAGGTTTTGAGGCTTTATTTCCCTGGTGCTGGAACCCTGGTTCGCATGTTCTGTCTCGCTCCCCAGTTGTTCCTCCTGGTTTATCTGCACGTTAATGTGGGACCACCCGGTCTGCCAGCTGCCAGCTGCCACCTTGCTGTGTGTCCTCTACCCTGGCTGTCTGCTTCCGCCCCTCCTACCCGTCTGAATGAATGTTTCCTCTTTAACTCCTTGATTGTCGGACTTCCATACAGTTCAATTTTCTGGCAATTCTGGTTATTTTTTTGTTTTTAAATTTGTTGTCTTCTTAGTTGTGTGAAGAGACAAAGCATATCTACCTATGCCTCCGTCTTAGCCAGAAGTCCTATGTTCTTCTGGAAAGGAAATTTAGACACAGAATCAGACATACAAGAGAGACAAGGAAATACAGAAACATGGGGAGAACACCCTCTATAAGGCAAGAATTCCCGAGTCTACTAGAAGCTAGGGGGGAGGGCTGCGACAGATTCTAAAGCCCTTAGAAGGGATTCACCCTACCAATTTGATCTCAGACTTCAAACCTCCTGAACTGTGAGATGACGAATTGTTGTTTAAGCCACCCAGTTTGTGGCACTTTGTGACAGTAGCCCCATGAAATGAATCAGCGACTTTTCCTAGTTTTGGCAAATCTAGCCATCCATCCATGGGACTGTGCATTCCCTGAGGGAGCAACTTTTCTGATGGACAACAAGCTATTAGCAGCATAAGCTTCCTTCTAAGAAACCCAGCTCACTGATACAAACTGGCGGCTCTGCCACCAAATTGATTTAATGTCTGACTGATCAAAGTTTGTTGTGTCATCTGTATGCTTGAAGAGTCTTAGATGCACAACCAGTTCAGATAAGTTCATGAAAATCCCCAACCCTAACCTGGGCATTTTTAATTTTTAGGAAACCATTACAGGCTTCAAAACAGTTTTTACATTTGATTCAGTATATGAAATGCCAGAAAATTTAGTGGTATTACTTAAAATATTCTGTATTTATTCTTCTAAAAATTACATGCATTTTTCTTGTTTTGGGTGAGACAGGGAATAGGGAGTGTTATCAGACAGGAAGCAGCCTATGATCGAAGGAAATGACATCCGTGATAAACTGTCAGGGTCTCCTCCAGTCATATTGTCTTGTGTTATAGGTGTTCACTTAAGAAATAACTACCAAAGACAAAGAGCACATCACCGATTTCATTGTTTGGAGTCTACAATTGCAATTTCTTATATCATGGCATAATACCTGCACACACATATTTAGAAAATTTAGAAAAATGTTCATTAAAGTTCGTGCTACATTAGGATTTATCCTATTTTATTAGGCCAAGCATAAAAAATATTCCCCAAATGCACCTCTAATTTTTCTTACAATCTTGACATTGGTCTATTTATAGCTATGTGTATATACATGGAACTGAAGATATTATTACTGCAACAACCTTTATACAGAGCTTATGAAACTAAAAAATATATATTCTGTATCAAGAGTACTTAATACTTGTAAACATTAAGAAACATATTCCCTCTCCAAACCTCTAGTTCTGTTTACTATTTTTTATTCCAATTTTTATTATGTATATTTGGAAATGTTTCTATATCATAAAAAATAGATTTCACACACTTCACAAGCCTGGGTGACCAATGACCAGACACCGACAAGATATTCTAGCACCGCAGAATCTGCTTCCATACTCCCTTATTGTCCACACAGGTTTCTGTTTGGTTTTGTTTTATTCTGTGGTCATTGTAAGTGTTGTTTTTGGGGGGATGAGGGTTGGAAGTGCTTACTGTTTTTTAAGGTGGCTTCCATTTCTCATTTATGCAATGTTGAGCAGGTTCACATGCTCCCACTACCACCTTAAGCAAGTACTTTGTTCTTTGGGAGTATATCACCTCATCAGTCTGGGTATTTCCTAACACCCACTCAGAGCAGCTCAGTCCCAGGCAGGAGTTCTTATATCTAGACTTGATAATAACTTAAGAGTGATCAGATTTGGAGGCAGAGCCGACTTTAAACTTTTGTTGTATCCCATTTTTTAAAACCCACCCTTGTCTCCCCTCTGTTTTCCATAACCGGGGGAGGAAGTGTGTGTGTTTGTGGTGCAACTAGAATAAGTACAGTGCTGGCACTTGCTAGGGAGAGACCCAGCCAGGTTTAGAATTACAACTTGTCTTAGATGGTTCTCTTAAAGTTAAGGGGGGAGGAAAGAGCATAGAGGCAGAACTGATGGAATCTCATGAAATTATTAACTATACCATGTCAGGCTCTAGGCTGCTACTCCTTAGCAAATATCTACTTGACAAATCTAAATGTCCTTCAGCTCTTCCCATCCTATAACGAAAGTTGGTCCTGGGTGCCCTGTCCCTGCCCTTTCTCCCTGCCCCTCGACTTGGCCTGTCCCATTATCTGCTGCATCATTTGTTCCTAGACTCATGGAAAGCACACAGGTGGCACAAGAGAGACCCTGTGTTTAGTCCATTAAACTTGCTATAGCAACAGGAGCTAAAAAGGTAAAAAAAGATAGAGACCAGAGATTAAGTAGAGACTTCATCCATTTGCATGGGGCTATTGATCATTATGAAAAGAGACCATTAAATATCATTACAAAGAGTTTAAAATTTGTATATGTAAACTAAAGATGGTTGGCCTTCTTCATAGGGCTCATTTTAAATTCTTTCCTTTGTGTTCACTAAGCTGCCCATCTGATTGATGATGTCATTGTCTTCATTTAAGATACACTCAGCTGCCCTGGTGGGTGCAGCTCAGTGGATTGACTGCCTGCCGGCCTGCGAACCAAAGGGTTGCCAGTTCGATTCCCAGTAGGGACATAGGCCAGGTTTCCAGTAGGGAGTGCATGAGAGGCAACCACACATTGCTGATCTCCCTCTCTCCCTCCCTTCTCCTCTCTGTAAAAATAAATAAATAATGCCTTTAAAAATGTTTTTTAAAAAGTGTTAAAAAAGATCTAAGTTTAGCTTCTAGGAGCCTGTGAAGATGGTCTGTGCCGTTACAATGACAGTTCCTAAAACAACTTATTTGAGAAAAATTGCAGTTTCACACAGTATTGACATGAGAGAGTTTGTAATTATTGGTACAAAACGATGGTTGCCAAAATTGAGAGAAATATTAGAAAAATGTTTCCATGGTAACGACTTCCTGCAGAAAACATGATCCGACCTTCAACTCCTGGATAAATTACTTTCATTTTTGAGATGTATTGAGAAACCACGTTGATATCTTGGTCACCTAGAAAAATACAGACATTATTGTAATTACAGAGGAGGTACTGATTAACAGTATGATTGGGGAAAACCAATGTATTTCTATAAAGACCTTTCTAATTACAATTGGGAAGATAATCCCCTTATCAGCAGACAAAATGTCACAGGAAAGAAGTAGTGATCACACTGCAAAGATTTGGGTTGCTTTCCTGCGTCCCAGGTGTCGTGTGCCCATCAGTCACTGCTGAAGAACTGGGGGCACAGTCAGCTCTGAGGCGACTCAGGAAAGAGGTTGTTGGTGTAACTGCCTCAAACCACTCCAGAGCAAGGGCCTTGGGGAACTGGGCCAAGGGAACATAGTTGAGACTTTTAAATACAAGTGGCTTCTTTTTGCTTGCCTCCCCCAGAATAATTTTCACAAAATTGCTGGAGAGACAATGGAGACTTCATTTCCAAAAAGGAGAGCTGATAAAGAAATACTAATTGCCTATAACTGTAAGAAATGCATAGGAACCTGACAAATTTTTATTTTAAAAACATCTATAAATTGTATATCTCATAAGGGGTTAATATTAAAACTATATATGAAATATAGTTTGATATATAGTGATAAAACTATATCAAACTAATACAACTCAGTAAAAAAATTTGATTAAAATTGGGCAGAAGATTTGAATAGACATTTTTCCGAACATACGGATGGATGTCCAACGAGCACGAGGAAAGGTGTTCGGTATCACCAATCATCACGGAAATGCCAGTCAAAACCACAGTGAGGTATTACCTGACACCTGTTAGAATGGCCATCATCGAAAAGACAAGAAATAAGTGTTGGTGAGGATGTGAAAAAGAGAAGCTTTTTGCCTTATTGGTGGGAATATAAATTGGCAAAGCCACTATGGAAACATTATGGAGGCTCCTCAAAAAATTAAAAAATGGAACTGCCTTATGATCCATCAATTCCATTTCCAAGTATTTATTCAAAGAAAACGAAAACACTAATTGGAAAAATATGCACCCCTCCCTCCCCGTGCACAACAAAACATTCTTTTCAGTCGCCAAGAAGCAACCTAAGTATCGGTGGATAAATGGGTAAGAAATTGTGACATAGATGTAACATAGTCACATGCACACACAGGGTGGGGCCAAGAGAGGTTTGCAGTTGTTTGTATGGACAATAATACAGTAGTAAGTAATAATATAAGAATAAACTTTCAAAGCATACATCTGTAAACCTCCTTTTGCCCTACTCTGTATATGCACACTATTCAGCTATACAAAAACAATAAAATCTTGCCATTTGGGGCAACATGGATGAATCTTGAGTGCCCTATGCTAAGTGAAATAAGCCAAGGAAGACAAACACCGTATGATTTCACTTATATGTGTGATTCAACCATAAAACCAACCTAACAGATACTAAGAACAGACGAGGTTACTGGAGGCTGGGGGTGAGGCGTGGGAGAAACATGCAAGGAATCAAAAGGTACAAACGTCCAGTTATAAAATGAGTCTTGGGAATGAAGGTCCAAGACTCACCGTAGATATTAACTACGGTGACTGCAGTAAATATCACATTGTGTATTGAAAGTTGCTGTGAGAGTAGATTGTAAAAAGTCCTCATCATAAGAAAAATACTGTTTCGTAACTATGTATGGTGATGGACGTTAACTGGACTTCCTGTGGTGATTTTACAAAGTATGTACCAAGATCAAATAATTATGTTGTACACTGAAACTAATGTTATGTCAATAAAATCTCAATAAACATTACTCTAATACTTAAAAAAACAACAGCTCTCTGGTTCTCACCCCGGGGTATACATGAGGATCACTGAAAGAGACTTTTCTCTCAGCCCAGTTAAATTAGAATCTCTTAAAAGTTGGGGCCAAGGTACTGGCATTTAATTAAAATGCTCCCCTAGTGATTCTAATGTACAGCCATGGCCGAGAAACCTTGGGGCCAGGGCTGCCTGAGCCTCCAGTGTGAGCCTCCAGGGCTCGGGTGCTGCGCAGACACCACGCTCTTGTCTCATGGGGAGCTGACGGCCACGGGACTTCAGAGAACACCTTGTTACACCTGACTTACATCTTCTATCCGGGAATGGACAGGAGTAGCTAGTGCCTTTTTCCCCGGGAAGGGCTGCCTGCTTTGCCCCGACTCTGCTCTCCGCCCTTCTTGGATAAGCGGCTAGAATGGCGGGCCTACCACGCTAAGGCTGAGGAGGAAGCCAGCTGAGCTCCAGCCCAGAGACGCAGAGAAGCCTGCGTGTGTGTTCTGCCCTGGAGAGAGGAAGGGGTGGCATATTCTCAGTGGACTTTAAGCACATGATGTGATTCTCATAGATTTTTAAAAGGTCGGGGTCTAATGACTGACCCTCAGTGCTGACGAATATATTGCCTGGATCAAGTGGGGCTCCCGTTACTTGCTCCCCCAATGCGCTGTGCTGACAGGTGGGGATGCGTCTCAGGCCTCCCTGACCCATTCACACAAAACACTTCTTCAGGTTGAGATGATTTACTGCGATGATTTTCCACATTCAACCTAAAGATCTAGGGTTATGTTTTTTCTATACGTTTTTTTTTATATTTTTCACAATTCAAACTGGTGTTTATATGTGCATAAAAGAGCTTCAAAACATTTTTGATTTAAAAATGTGTTTTCCCTCGGAAGGATGGGCGAATGTGCTGGGAAGGGACAAGGCACAGGTTTGCCCGGACAGGCGGCCGTCGGCCCGCGGGCAGCACCTGGATTCTGGCTTCGCCGTCCTGCCATCACGAGCAGCTCCCTTCTTCGGACCAGCACTGTTGTGCCCCAGTACCTCTGGGACGTGGGCAGGGATGGGCACTTGTGCTCACCTGAGTTGTGTTGTAACACCTCTTCTTTTATCATCTGGAATCCATCTCCACCTTTGGCGAGGAAGCTCGGGAGGACCACGTTATATTCGTCATCCATTCTGAGAGGCTCGTAGCTGGGCACTCGACACCGGGTGCAAAGACCGTCTAATTTGACCACCCTGTCCCCGGGGTTCCGGGAAAGATCGTACACCACGTGGATTCCTAGAAAAGAAGTGAGTCTGTATGTTTTCCCTGGGTCCCAATGGAAATTTCTGTTTTCTAAGAGAGAGATTTTGGTCAAAACCTAGAACTGGGGCACAGGGCTTAGTTTGCATTCAGTGTGAACTCGAGTGGAATTTTGGCAAGCGAGCTGAGGTGACATTGCGGCTTCCCATTCTTGGTTAGGCTGCGTCCTCCTGGGAGGTCTGAGAACCCAGGAAAACGGAGACTGGCCCGGAGTGGGCAAGGAGCAACTCTATGCGGAGAAACCACATCTTTTAAAAATCCTGAGTGACTGGGTCCAGCAGCTCAGTTCAGCAGCTTTGAAAACTGAGACATGGATGAGAGGTGGTGAAGATTTGCTACAATTTTGAAGACTACAAAATGGTAATAAGTTGGACTTGGGCGACTTCCACAAAACATACAACTACCAGGCACAGCGCTGGAGCATCGAAGCCTGGTTGTTCCCTCCGCTGTCTCCTGGAAAAATGCAGAATGTCCGTGTTACCCCACAGCAGGCCGGAGCCCCGCCACCTTCTGCAGCCCCTCAGTCCCAACAGGCTCCTGCAAAGGGAGAACCCCACAAAGCATTCGCACCCACTGAGTGAAGGCCCACCATCTACAGGCAAAGAACTGAGGGCGTGAAATGGATTCGGAGTCAAACAAGAATATTCATTTAAAGGTTAATTCGTTGGGCTGTGGAACTATTGACAAAAGCACTGTCTGAAGCCCTTGGCAATTTGGGAAGCGTTTCTTTTCATCCACGAGTCACTGGAATCCGTGAAGCGAGCAGGGCAGGTTTTCTCTGCACTCAGAGATAGTGAAGACCTGCCCCAGGCCACAGTGGAGTCAGAACTGTCGTGGGGGTGAGGCCAGGGCTGCGGCCCTGCTCTGCGCGATTTGAACCCCTTTGCTCCAGTTGTCGGGTGTGTCTGTGCAGCAGGATGCCCCTTCCAGAAACCATTCTTGTTAACAACTGATGGACAGACACGGCACGTCTGCCTTTGAACTCCAGCACGGTTCCAGACGATTATGACGAGAACGCAGGAGGGATTTTTTTTTCCTCAACAAAAAGTATTGAATGCTTAAACAACTAAGATTTTAATAGAAATGATTTCAATGCAGCTGACCCGCTTAGAGTTGGGAGGGTCCATCTGAGGTCCAAATCAGATTTGACAGATACTGCTCATTGCCAGGCACTTGGGGCTTTGAGAGGACCTAATCTCAGTGGTCTGGGAGTCCACAGCCACTGAAAGACTATGCGCCAATGTTGGCTTGTGGAAAACCTGAGCAAGCTTGGCCACAGGGGTCCTGGTGAAGAGGGAGCTGGCCATCTCCCCAGGAATCCCACCTCACTGGGAGGGTGACTTACCGCCCACCTGCAGGAACTCTCCGGTGGACTGGCCATAGCGGTGCACGCTGTGCTCAAAGGCCTTCTTCAGGGTGGAGCCTTTTAATCGGACCAGGTCAAAGGTGCCTCCAAAGGGTAACACAGCAGTCAGGCTCTCCCAGGTGATGGTGCCTGAGGGTAGTCACAGGTGAGGCAAGAAGGAAAATATCTTGAGAACAAGCTGACACCCAAACAAGTTTTCTTTAGGACAAGGGGTGGGGGGAGGAGGGGAAGGTGAGGGGGACACAGGGCCTTGGGAGGCTGTTGGATCAGCACCTGCTGTGTCTCAGTGCCTCCCAGCACTTTAGGAGGGAACAGGTTCCAAGAGGCCTTTGCCTGTGCCCTCCACCACTGAGCAAGACAGGAGGGGCTTATAAATGGCTGTGGCTCCAAAGTGGCCTGAACCCTGCCCTGGGTCTCCTGGCGTGAGGTGGGATCTGCAGTGGGTGCTAAGCATTGCTCAGGTCCTCCAGACAGGCAGTATTTCCCTGCCCCCCCCCCATCCCTGACCGAAACAATGAGGGGCAGGGCACACACCCGGACTGGCTGGTTTTGATGGTGTTATCAGTGAAGACAGCAAGAATGCCTTGAGTACCTGCTTGGTTTATTTCATCATATAACATAATCCTGGGTATCCGTAAATGCGCGAAAAGGATTTAGTCCAGTGGCATGCTTTCCAGTACGGAAAACCTTTTGCCTTTCCAGATTTCTGGGTGGAGGCTGTCAATGTTTTGCATAAACCAGCAACGATTCCTATTTAACTTTGTGAGTCAGAAGTTTAGATTGAGCTGGGGTTCCACCAACCTTAGCCTGCCGCTGCTGTGTGCAGACACACAGGAGAACCTGAGCATGTGTGTGTGTCCTTTGGGCAAGGTGCTGCCTTGAGTAGTGGCTAACTCAGGCTGCACGGCCTGACCTTGCGGTGCACGGCTGGCAGCAGAGGTCGGCCGGGCTGCCCACGTGCACGGTCAGAGAGAGGACGCTGACCCGAGGACCAGGAGCCTGGGGACCGTACCGTTGTTCTGCTCGTCAATGGGAGACCGAATGCCACCACCGTTTAGAATGCACATGGACACGTGGTTCCAGGACATTTCATCCAAGTGTCTGAGGTTGTTGTTAATCTGCAACGGTAGCGTGAATCTACGTTACTTATTCTGAGTCTTCGTCTTCGGGATCAGTTCCAGGAATTTGGTCGCTCTACTGGGGACGTAAAGCCACTTTGCCCTGCTGCTGTGTTCCCAGAGACTTTTCAAGTGTAACGAGAGCTAGTTTTATGCTGTGAGAAGCGAGACTAGGACACTGTGGCCTGTCCCACGCCCTGAGCCCCCTGTCCCTTGGTGCCTGTGATCTCGGTGGGCCTCAGCAAACCCGGCTCTGCTCACGCCGCAGACTGTTCTGCAGCGCCGCTCCTCCAGGGCAGGCCCCGCACTTGCTCCTGAAGGCAGGGCCCGAAAACCTTTCCACTCCTGGCCTCAGGCCAACAAGGAGCCTGGTCTGGCCCTGATCCGTCTGACTGTCCTGTGAAGAAAAGGGTCTCCAGTTTGACTCCGGTCAGGGCACGTGCCTGGGCTGTGGGTTTTGATCCCTGTTTGGAGCATGCGTGAGAAGCAACCAATGTCTCTCTTTTATATCAATGTTTCTCCCCCTCTCTTTCCCCCTCCCTCCCCCTCTGTATTAAAGAAATAAAATCTTTAACCCAAACAAACAAACAAAACCCCCGGCCTCATGTTGGGGCCCCCAGGAAGTTCACAAACAGGCGATTTTAAAGACACAGAGACAGCCTCCTGAAGCTGGGAGAGCCAGTTACATTTTTACTTTCATCCTACAAAATACATGTTTAATTACAAGAAATAAAATGACTACATTCTCATTTGGAAAAAAAAGTGCAAAGCCAAACATGTTCTTCTACTGGCCCCAGTCTATTAGCAGAGAGGTAAGCACTTCAGCCCAGGGGTTTCCTTTGGGACTGTTCCCTAAACACCCACACCTGCTGGTGTCTGCAGCTCCTTCTCTTGTAGCATCGGTCTTACCTGGGGAAGTGTGAATATTGTTACTTTCCACTTGGCAGATGTTAATTTAGTGTGGGTGGCTATGTCCCCCACACCATCCAGAGTGCAGACCAAGAAATAACCCCTTGGGTGTGGGCTTGGAGTCTGACTTGGGAGGCCTGGCTCGGCAGAGTCCCAGAGGACTGCCGCCCCAGCCTCCCCACAGACAGGTGGACGGAGGGGGCTTTTTGTGGCTGCCGTTGCTCAGCTGCAGAACTTATTACCATCACTGTACGTGTGTTGTCATCCTGCTTGTGACGGGGTTCCAGTCGCATAAGGCCTAGCTGTCTGGAGCCAAGTTAGTCCCAAGGACATGTTTGATGTCTACATCTTCAGAGTAGTGGAGTTTTATGTATTCAGATCGCCTTACAGGAAAAGCAACCCCCCAAATTCAGACATCCAAAAGTGAATGCCTCAAGAACTCAATTTGCCTTGAGTTCTTGCAAATCGATAGAGTGATGGTCCGCTGTCTAGTTGATGGACCTTCCCAAGGTGCTGGGTGTGACTCCATGCAGAGCGCTAGTCTGGGCACTAATTTCTTTCTAAACGCTCAATTCTGTAACCATCAGGTTGCCCCTCCCTCCCTCCCCTCCCTGCATCTCCCCTCCCTCCCTCCCTCTCCCCGCCCCCGGTGGGCCACTCACCATTGCATCGCAAATCAGGTTGCCCATGTTGCATTCTTTAAAGCGGCACGACCGAGAGGAGCCATCCAGGTAGACGATGGTCTTCCCCAGTTCCTGGGAAGAATAATTATCTAATTTTACCCGCCATTTGTTAATTTCTGCTTTTATGGTTGGATCTAGAAGAGAGCAAAGTAACCACAGCAACAGCAATCAGTCTGCCACTCAAGCCCATCTTGCACTGGCCTAAATTTTGAAAAAAGAATCAAGCATTATTTAGCCTGTGTGTGTGAGTATGCATTTCTTTAGCCTTTGTCTGTACATTTTGGGTTTGACTATGAAATTTCCTTAGGAGCCTCTGTTCTATTTCCTGGTACTAAGGCCCAGAATGGACCCTAACTTGAAGCCATGCTAAGTATCTGAACATCAACTCATCCCATCTGTGGAGTGCCTGTTGGCACCCCGGATTAGCACTGGTGGGGTGTGGGGCCATGAACGAATGGCCAAAGTGCAGGCACAAGGGGCTTGCTGAGGTCCTGCTCTCTGTGTGGTCCCTGCCCCTGCCTCTGGCTCTTGACAGGTCTGTTGAGACCATCGCCCTTCAGGGCCCCTCACTGTCCATCCCTCCGGACCAAATCATCCTCAGCAGTCAATGGCCAGTGAGGGGACATGCAGGAGTGTGTTTGTGTATATTATATGAAAATGGATGACAGGAAGTGTATATTTACTCTGCATCCCAGACCAAGAAGGGAGAAAGACACTCCCTCATTTGATAAACAAAGAATCTAAAGCCCTTGAGACTGGGCAATTTGCGCCAGGCACACTGCTGCTGGGGCTGGGGCCCCTGCTCCGCCCCATGTGACCCCCTTGGTGTCAATCATCAACTCTCCTCTGGACAGGAACTGAGAATGGCCTTCCCACACCAAGGCAAAGCTTGGAAAGGCACAGGAGGCAGTGACAGTGTCTGATGTTAAAAGGACTTATAGAAGCAAATGGAGATTTGTGGCATTTGGGTGAGTTTTAAATCTCTTTATCCATGAAAACAATAAACTCAGAGAAACTCAATTCTTTAAAAGTATATAGTCTTGTCCTGAAATATTAACAAAAAAAGGAGAAAAAAATCAGCCATCTAATTTTTGCTTTAGTGGAACATTGCCCTGAATTTCACATACCTTCGGGAATGCTGCTGTTGAGAAGAATGGGATTTCCATGTGAAGTGATGACATTTCCTTTTACATCAAACTCAACCTTCAAATAGCCTAAGTATTTGCCAAAAGCATAGGCTTGGACCACAGGAACCTTCCGTCCATCATCGGAGGTGACTATGAATGGGTAGTTCCCAGCCGGCTTCTCTTTGGAAGGTGGGTTGCCTAAAATAAAAGGGCCAAAGCTGATCAAGTCAGCCCTCGTACATGGCTGACTGCAGGCCAGAAGGCCACTGGCCAGATGACAGTGAATCCCGAATTGATGAGTTGCTAGCCACTGCTCCACCCAGCTGGTCTTTCAGAGCGCTGGTTGCTGGGGCAGCTGCCCATGTTTCTGAATGCCTTTTTGCAAACAAATCCTTCTGTTTGCAACTCAGTAGGCATTTGTTAAACCCTTCCTGAGTCCAGGACACTGCCTGGTGCTGTGTGTGGCGGGGGGGGGGGGGGCGCAAAGATGCAATACTGCTCAGATTATCCTACTTCCTCCATCCTGGCCATGGTCCCACTCTCGCTGGCCAGGTATAGCCGCTTCACTGCACTTCAGTTTCCTCGCCTGTAAAATGGGTGGAATCATCTCTAGTTCACTGGGCTGCTGGGGCAATTAAATGACTAAACTCCCTAGCATAGTTCATGGTGCACGTTAGGTACTCAATAAATGTATATTTCCTTCTCTTATCCGGTGATGGCAACCTCTAGAAATGCCAGCCACGCACTTTTAGATCTTAGAATCTTCAATGACACATGAACAGAAATGACAAAGGGCTGTTTTCAGGTTTTGCTACTAAATCTTGTGTCCACTCGGGTGACTTTTGGAAGAGCTGGAATGTGAAGGATTCCCACTGGAAAGCAGGGCTGTGAGTTGGGTCCTCTCCACTACCCACTCCAAGCCTGGGCGGCACTGCGGTGCCCCACGCTGTTCGGGTCTTGTCTCCACACCTGAGCCAAGGGCAGTGGGTGTTATGGAACCCTGCCCCCTGACCGCCCCGCTCGCTCCTGTGCCCAGAGCAGCCTCCTCCAGCTCAATTACCACAGAGCAGAAGAAGTGCTGCAAATACCAGCACTCTACAAGCATGAAGGAGCTGTTGCCAACCTTAATTTCCACTTTTTTAACTCTCTCTGGGAAAAAAAGAAAAAGAAAAAAGTCTTGTAACTATTCTTACAAAAGCACCCGACTGGAGAGGCAGTGCAGACCTTGGCCCATCTCCATCTGCAGGGTACAATTTCATGGGCTATGATAGCTGAAGGTGATATGAAGCACTGCACAGTAGCAGGGAATATTAACACTCGCATCTTCCTCCTTCTGTTCTGTGCTGGTCCTCCTCCGGGCAAGCCTGGGACCTGCTTTACTTCAGGGCATCAGGGGACCAGCTGGGTGGTTCTCTGAACCCAGAGAAGTTTAGGGAGGTGCAGTTCCAAATATGCCCACAAGGTGGCGTAGAACGCACGCCCAGGAGGAAATAGCACTAAGTCAATTTCAGAAAGGAAGTCTGGCACTTTCCTGGAAATCCAAGAGGAGGACGAGCCTGATTTTTTTTAGCCTGTAGTTTTCCGCTTTCCATAGACATATCTGAACTTGAACAGAATGTAAAAGCTAGAAATTTGACGATTGGTGAAATGCCCCATCTGATGAGCATGCACTCTACAAACAGGAGCTATGAATCCCAGCTCCTGTCTGACAGGGAGCAGCGCCCTCCAGCACTGAGAGCCCGTGATGTTCCTTTTAGAACAAAAGACATGTCATCTGTGCCTGAAATGGACTTAATCAGGTACCAACCAGCAAGATACTTTCCGTGTGGCCAAGCTCTGCCTCCTCCACAGCTGAGCCCTCTCTGCTCCCGGTCAACTCAGCAACCGCAGAAACCACGAGCAGCGAAAACAACCCAGGGCTTCAGATTTTCCATACCATTCTACCTCTTGCCAAAGATGCTCATGCACCACTACCCTGTCCACATGGAGCCACACCTCTGTCTTTAGAAACCCAACTTGTCATCTCAGCAGGAGAGAAGTTATTTGCCAGAACTCTATTTCAGCCATTTAGCAAATAAACAAATCTGGGAACCAAACCTGGAGAGTCCGTGAAGTTGCGGGCTGGCATTTAAAGCCAGTAAACTGACTAGCCAGGGCATTCACTAGCACATAGTGGGTGCCTGAGAAAACCCTACAGGGAGGGCCCTGGGAGCCGGATCCAGCAGCCATCAGGAGCACAATGGCTCCAAGGCCAGAAGGGGTGGCCAGAGTGGATCCCATGGCGACAGAGGTGCCAGGGAGCGGACCTTTGACCTGGTTTTCAATTGGCTGAATTTCAGAATATTTTAACATAGTGCGTATCATAGTTTTTAATGTGTATGGGAACCAGTTTAAGAACTTCCAAAATTCCTATTAAGGACAGGATAAAAGTAATTGGTAATTAGTATATTTCACATCATTGCTTCTAAGGGAGTTGAGTCTTTTATTTTTATTTTTTAAAGATTTTATTTATTTATTTATTTTAGAGAGGAGAAGGGAAGGAGAAAGAAAGGGCAACATCAGTGTGTGAGATAACATCGATTGGTTGCTTCTTACACACCCCCTCACTGGGGACCTGGCCCACAACCCAGGCATGTTCCCTGACTGGGAAATGAACTAGTGATCTTTCAGTTCACAGGCTGGCACTCAATCCACTGAACGATACCAGCCAGGGAGACCCTTTCTTTTAAATTACTTGGAAGTGGCTCACTTCTACTAGACACTGCTTTTGTCTACTTCTCTAAATCTCAGGCAAGCCACGGGGGTAGTCACCATTATCTTAAGCCTGGGCTACTGCAACGGCCACCTATACCTGGCCTCTGTACATCCCACCTCCCCTCTTTCCAACTCATCCTCCACACAGCAGCCTGAGTGGTCTTACTGAAACATAAACATGACCATGTGCTCCCTGGTATAAAATATTTCCTACTGGCCTTAGGCAAAACACTGTAAGTTTTGGCACAAACATCATAAACTATTACACCTACATGACCGGGCTCTTTCTCACTGTGCCAACTTCATCTAGAGCGAGGGGTGCCCAACCTTTTGGCAACTCTGGGTCACACGGAAAGAAGAGTTGTCTTGGGCTACCCATTAAATACACAACCACCAACGAACACTGACGAGCAAAAAAAAAAGTTTTAAGTAAATTTACAGTTTTGTGCTGGGTCCCATTCATAGCCATTCTGGCTACATCCTGGCCACATGCAGCCCACAGGCCAGAGGCTGGTAGACCATCTGCCCTGCACCTCAGCAGTCTTAGCTCCTTTCATCCCTCCACCACACCCAGCTGCACAGCCTTAGAGTTCAGAGTAAGACCCGGAGCTGGAGGGCTGCATGTGAATTACATCAGTTTATGCATCTTAAGCCTCAGTTTATGCATCTTGGTAAAATGAAGAAAGTGACAAGACCTACCTTATAGGGTTGTTGGGAGAGTTAACGAAGTTAATGTAACAAATGAAGCCCTACTTACGTAAATGCTCCATAAAGATTAGAGATAATCATGTATCAAGTTAACTCTCGGCTGTCTCTCTGATCTTAGCCCAGACATCCTTTCCTCAGAAGAACACCCTCCGATGATCCCCCAGACTCGGTAAGGTCCTTCTATAGGGGGTGGGGCAAAAGTAGGTTTATGTTGTTCATATGGAAAATAATACCATGACTGATGCATAATAGTACAAGAATAAACTCTGTTTGGAGTACTCACAGCTGTAAACCTACTTTCCGCCCCAGTCTGTATATGCTCTCACAGGATCTCGTACTTCTCCCTCCACAGGGCGTTTTTTGGTGATGTATATTGTAGGGGTTCAGAATGCGTCACCCCAGAATGTGCCTCTGTGGCATGGGGATGACTTTGAGCTACAGGCAACTGAGACCCTCTGGGTTCAAGAGGAACTTCTGCCCCTCCGCTAACTACCTAGAAGAGATTGAATTAGTGACCTTGCCTATAATAAGAGATTATCAGAGATAAGCATAAATTAACTGATCTACAGGTCAGGACAAACTTCTACCTACTGAACATTTGCTCTTCTTGTTCAGTAGTTAGAGTGACCATCCTCCCCCAAGGTGCCTCCCCCGACCTTTAGCTCAGAACATTACATACACCCATGTTTCCTTTCTGTCTCCGAACCTCTCATGTATGTAGGGTCTCTGACTCTCTCGTGTATGTGGGGTTCCCGTGTGTATGCGCATTAATTAAATTTGGTTATTTTTCTCTTGTTAATCTGTTTCATGTAGATTTAATTATTCGGCCAGTTGAAAGAAACTTGGAGGTAAGAGGAAGTTTCTCCATCCCCCAATACAATGATTCCTTTGCGTACTTTAAGAGGAAGTTGATCAGGGTCAGTGTGGAGGAGAGGCTATTCCACTGCCAGCCCCACCAGCCAGATCCAGCCAGACGAGGTTGCTTCCGATTGACCCCCTGTGCCTTGGCCCAGGCGTGCTGGTGCCTGGCGCAGGCTGTTCTCGGCTCCCCAGGCAAACGCGCAGGTCACACTCCCCAGTGCCCTTATCAGTCCCGAACCTACGTAACCCTTTAGTACCTGCCATGGACCCACATCACCCCGCCACTGCCAAGATGTGTCTCCCTCTTATGTGAGTCCCCTTAATAAATACCCTTGATATAATCATGGAGTTGTCAACCTCTTCCTCTGATCTCTCAGCCCTGGGAAATTTTACTTAAGAGTCAGCATCTCTTTTAAGATAATAAGTTTCATGAGTGTAAAGTCTGCCATGTCCCTGGAGTTTGCCTAGCACATAGTGGGTGGTCGATAAAAATTTGTTGAATGACTAAGCGTAAGTATTTTAACCAACACTCTTCTATAGATCAGTCAAGATTTTTATGCTTTGCCTGTGGTGGAATCCATCTGTCGAGAGGAGCAAGGCCTGCGTGCCCACCCAACTCCCCTGAGTTCCACTTCCATAGCTGATGAGCTCGGCAGAGCTCCCAAAGGGGGATGGGAGTTGAAAGTCAAGAAAATGCATTTGGTGCTAGCTCAGTTTGCATCTGGTTTCATGACCTTGGGAGAGACAGTGAGCTCCTGGGGCCTAAATTTATCTCCTAAATTTGTAAACTGAGAGATTTGATTAGTGGTTTCAACCAGAAATGGTTTAACTTTTGTTGGTGTTGTTTGTTTTAAAGCTCTGAGCATGCCTTGCCC